TTTTTTTTGCTGGAAACAGGAAAGATGGTTAGCTGGGAGTGAACAACAGTGTCCGTTGAACATCTCAACGGCCTTCACAGTTGTTTCTTTCCCTTTGGATTTCATGGGACCGGCTTTCCCTTTCCTCAAACGGTTCCCATTTGTGTTTGGGTTTGCGCCGAAAGATCGGAAGCCCCCGAAGGGTTCCCCCCTTGAGGAGCTGGAAGATGAGGTCCTACAGCTCTGCCGCTCTTTGAGCGCGTACAAGTGAACGAGGGCTCAGAGCCCAAAGTTTCGTCTCTCCGGAGTCAAAGGGTTGTCCTTGGAGCAGGAGCAAAAGCTATCATGTGGTTGCCACGTTTTTTTACTTGATGCCTCGGGTACGCTAATCTTTTCCTGGCAAAGGCTGTTAAAGGGGGCAAAAGGAAGATGCCCACACCTGCCAATGGGAGCGAAGGGCCGGCGGTTTGAATCAAAAGGCCACCTAATTTGAGAGACATGTGTTGAGTACCTCTTTTTCACATAACCTTTTGGGAGTGTATGTTCCTGGGCAGTGTCGAGTTCGCTGGTTGAGATGCGGAAAGTCGTGCAACGACTCTCCAACTGTAGAGTTTCATGGCTCGACTCTTGAAAAGAGCTTGGGCTGAATGATTTCTCTGGCGCTTGCTATTGGGACACTTCCCCGGCGCATGTAGGGTACATATTTTACGAGGCCGATTGGCTGAGTGAGCGGGAAACAAATGATTCGGACAAGGACCTTTGTGTGCTCCTCTCAGACAGCACCAGCCAAGCGGGGCGATACGGAGATGTTTGTCTTGTGCCCTGGGATGATATCCTCCAGGAATAAAGGCGCCTTGTTTGCTTGCTTTGCTGGAGGCTCTAAGCTCGGGGGCAAGACACACAGTTCTTGATCGTTGTGAAATTTGCCAAACTCCTGAGTTGCCTAGCCGACTCTGGCCAGAGCAGTCCGCATATCTTGTGGGTGCCTCCAAAGTCCAAGTCAGACACCAAAGCAAGGGCCCTGGGTCCCAAAAAAGGACGTGTTCTCTGGAGAAGGCCGGGGCCAAAGAGTGTGGAGCAGCGCGACAGAAAAAGCCGGGGGTGCGTGGACTCCGAGGCATTGGCCATGGTTCTGATTCCCACTACTTGCCACTTGTTTTTCCGAGTGTTGTGGAACCCACTCACGTTGTCCCACCTTGCAAAGGGTCTCCCGGGGCCACTTGTTTCGCCAACTTTGGCTTAGGCAGATGAGAGTCCTATACGAGACCATGAAGCTGAGGTCTTGAGGCAGGAGTTTGGCTGGTATGGCTTTTCACCAACATGGAAGGCTGGCGCTGGGCATGCCAGCAGGGCTTGCAACGCTTACTGTCACACTCCCGCACACGCGCCCGCGCGCACCCGCGCACACATACACACACACACGACACACACACACACACACACAACACCCCACACACCCCACACCCCACACCACACACCGCACACCACACACTGCACACCGCACACCGCACTCCACACACCACACACCACACGCCAACACACACACAGACACAGACCAACAGACACACCAACACACACACAGACCAACAGGCACACCAACACACACACACACAGACCAACAGACACACCAACACACACACACACACCCACACCCACACCCACAGGCACACGCAAACGCACACGCACACGCACACACGCACACGCACGCGCACGCGCGCACGCACACGCACACGCACACGCACACACGCACGCACACGCACACGCACACGCACACGCGCACGCACACACACGCGCACACGCGCAGGCACAGGCACACACGCACGCGCACGCGCACGCGCACGCGCACGAACACGCGCACGCTCACGCCCACGCGCACACGCACACACGCACACACGCACACACACACACACACACACACACACACACACACACACACACACACACACACACACACACACACACACACACACACACACACACACACACACACACACACACACACACACACACGCACACGCACACGCACACAAACACACACACACACAATCCCACATAAACACACACACACACAAACACGCAAACAATCACACACACACACACAAACACACACACACAAACGCACACACACACACACACAAAAACACACAAACACAAACACACACACACAAACACACACACACACACACAAACACACAAACACACACACAAACACAAGAACACACACACAAACACACACAAACACACACACACACAAATACGCACACAAACACACACACAAACACAACCACACACACAAACACACACAAACACAAACACACAAACACACACAAGCACACAAACACACACAAACACGCACAAACACACACACACACACAAACACACACACACACAAACACACTCACAAACACACACACACACACACAAACACACACACAAACGCACACACAAACACACACACACACAAACACACACACACACAAACACACGCACACACACACACCACGCACACACACCACACACACACACACACCACACACGCACACCACACACACAACACACCGACACACACCGACACACACCGACACACACCGACACACACCGACACACACCGAGACACACAACACGCACACGCGCGCGCCAACACACGCACACACGCCAACACACACACAGACACCAGCACACACACAAACACACACAAACACAACCACGCAACCACACACACACAAACGCGCAAACACACAGGAACGCACACACACACACACAAGCAAACAAACACACACGCAGACACACACACACAGCCATATATTTATAGAATATATACGAACACACACACAGACACATACAAGGGGACACGCGCACACCCACACACACACACACACCCACACACACACAACCACAAACGCACACACACACA